TGAAGATCAAAAGCCATCTCAAAGAGAAGTCATTCTAACTTTTATAGTGAGTATATCATTACTCTAAATCAAAATTCAATCCTGACATTTCCATTACGGGAATAATTCATTCTTACAAAATTAGTCATTCATTTATCATATGCTACATATTCAGCATCTACTATAGGAAGAACCTGGTAATTTTATGCTTCTTTTACCATGACTGACAATTTTTTAATGTTAGCTTAAATAAACTTTGATGAATCTACTAAAGAACAGTATAGATGCCCCACTGCTAAAGGGTGTGCATTGGTCAGTTTGCGCCGTCTCGAAAGTGGGTCCATTAGTCAGTGTGCATCCTCTTGCTGTCTGCGAGTGATGGACAGAAGTGCGAAGCATGAAATGCGATTCCTGTGTTGTCATGACAACCTTACGAGACTAATATCATTATCCCCACTGTACAGATGGAAAGGTCAAGGGCTAGGGAAGTTGAAGAGCCACTAATATCTTACTGATAATAATGAGTTAAATCAAGATTCAAACCCAGGCCTGTGTATATGCAGAGCCTCAGTTAGCACTTGGTTTCTCTTACTCCATTTGGGGAATTATGGAGCGTGTACCCTTGTGGACAGTTAGAAAATCACAGCAGTACTCCTAACACAGAAAGCCTATAACAAGGACATAGAACCAACCAAAGACGAGCCAAAGGGCAGGCAACACTGGACAGAATTTAGAGACAAGACTGACTCCTCAGTGTGGTCCTGAAGGAAATGATTAGAGGGCCTGAGAGAAGTTGGGCAGTGTGTCTGGTGGTGTCCAAGAGGAGTCGAGTTAGGAAGAAGCAAGACCAGGAGACCATAGTGACAGACTTGACCGCAGCAGGCTGGCCTTGAAACACCCTCGCACAAGGTCTCCACAGAGACCATAGATAAACCGAGGCGACTGCTGAGAGGCGCCCAGATGTGTTTGCAGTTGATGTCAAAGACAGCAGGAAGCCAAGGGAGCTTTGGGGCCTGAGCAGAGATATTGTAACAATGGCCCTCGAGGAAGATTATTCTAGAAGTTCTATTCAAAAAGGAGGCTGATGGGGAAGATAGCTACTGGAAATTTATTTAACATTGTAAATATCCATTATACTTTAAACCTGTTCAAAATATGCCTCATGCTTCGGAAAGTCTTCACCGACAAAGCAGCTTTGCCCTGACACTGGGCCAACTTTGTATGTTTAATTTTATCAATATTATTTTTTAGAAAACAGAGAGTATTTCTTTAAGAAGTATTCACATTCACATATTATATTTTCTGTGGCTTTTGTATTAAAAGTAGTTAGGGAAAAATTAAACTTTTGTCTTTGTTTCTCTTTTTCTTCAAAGGATCCAGAAGGGTCCAAAGCAGCTGTGGCAGGAAAACAAAGTAGCACTGGTATCATCAATTTTCCTGACTTCAAGATCCCAGCTGACCCAGAGTACTTTTTATGATTTATTTCTATTTATGTGCCTTTCGTGTGTGTGTGTGTGTGTGTGTGTGTGTGAGACATGTGTGGGTACCCATGGAGGCCAGAAGATGGCTCAGATGCCCTGGAGCTGGAGCTACAGGTGGTTGTAAGCCACCCAACATGGATGTTGGGAACCTAACTCAGGTCCTCCGCAAAAGCAGTTTGTGCTCAAAACCACTGGGCCACCTCTCCAGGCCTTCATTCTAAATATTTTTAAATTATTTACTAGCTAAATTTCTCTTAAAAGCAGTGGAAATACTTGGAGTCACTGAAAAGGTGGTGGCATCTACGAATATGAGAAAGGCACAATACAAAGGTTTGGTTCTGGCTGTTCTCCTGAGGGCTACTGAGCAATCCTAAGATACAGGAAGGCAGAACATAATGTAATAGCTCTGTCCAGAAACTCCAAGCTATTCTTCTCTAGTCAATGTAGGAAGCACCTTCCATAGCAAAATCTAAGTAGCAGACTCTCCAAAGCAGAGTACAATAGAAAAAAAAAATCGGTAGATGATTTCTATCAGTGTGTGTTTAATATTTCTTAGAGGTTTTAGAATGTTCTTTGAAATTTTAGCTCCTATTCCTAGCATCTAAAGATCTTTTGAGATATGGTTTAGGATTTAGTTGAGAATTATTGCATGATTCCTTGAAAGTGTAACTCTTTGATAAGGTAAGGGAACTGGCAATTATGGCTCTCCTGCCACGTACCAAGCATTCTAAAGGGTCTCCTATCATTCCCTTTTCTTCACTTACTAAATGGTGGGGCAGAAATGGGAGCCCACATCCCAAAGGGCAAAAGACACTCTTATTCTTTGATTCTACCTCACTGTATCTCAAAAAAGAATTTCCCACTGACCTTGAGGTATAATATTTCCAAAATAGCATATGTGTATCATTTAGAGAAATTTAATTGGATCAAATGGTCCTGAAAGTATAGTCCTGATTTTCTGACAAGCCTTATAGTGTAATGATTGATATGATTAAGCTTCTGAGTTGGTTTATCAAGTGAATAAACAATGCTTTAATTAAATATATTTTGTAGTTAAATATATTCTATGATATTCTAGAGAACAATTTAGCAATATAAAAGTAACATTAGGATGCTTTAAATTATTTTAAATTTTCATTCATTTATTTTTATTTTACATGTATGAGTGTTTTGCCTCCAAGTACGTAAGCACAGACATGTTGTGCAATGCCCATAGAGGTCAGAAGAGGTTGTAGAATTCTTTAGAACTGGAGTTATGGACAGTTGTTAGCCACCATGTGGGTGCTGGGAACCAAACCCAGGTCCTCTGCAAGAGCAGCTAGCGCTCATAACCACTGAATCATCTCTCCAGTCCCTCTTTAGACAATTTTCCAAATGCATACTTTTGTTTAGGGTTTCAATACATCTTTATTGGCATATTGTGATGTCCAAACACCCGAAGTGCTGTCCTTGTCTGTCATAGAACATGGAACTGTGGTCAAGGGATTTAGAGCCAAAATTAGCAAATTTGAGACCTACTTCACCACGATGCAGCTGTGTGTCCCTGTGAAAACTATTTCACACCTGTTTTCTGCTAATGGAGCTTATAATAATGTAACCTACTGCGTAGTATTTTAAGAGAACTGAATGAAGCTGGACTTGGTGATGCAAGTCTTTAATTCCATCACTCTGGAGGCAGAGGCAGGCAGATCTCTGCGTGTGAGACTGAGGCCAGCCTGGTCTACATAGTGAGTTCCAGGCCAGCCGGGGCAACTGAAAGACACTTCTCAAAAAGAGAGAGAGAGAGAGAGAGAGAGAGAGAGAGAGAGAGAGTGAAGTGATTTTGTCCAGTCATACAAGAAGATGATGCTAGGGCTTCCCCCCTGAGGTTTGTTCATGCCTCATACCTTTAATCCCAGCACTGGGGAGGTAGAGGCAGGCAGATCTCTGTGAGATCGAGGCCAGCTATATAGTGAGTCCCAAGCCAGCTGGACCCTGTCTCCAAAAGGCCAAACCATAAATAAATAAAAATTTAAAAGATATAGTATTTGATGACATCTAAAATAATTAAAACGTGCTTCTCTTACAGATATGGTTTGTGGGCAATTGAAGCGAAATATAAAGAAGGTTTCACAACTAAAGGATTAGCACATTTTGAAATTAAATTTAAAAGGCGGGGTAAGTTTTCATAAATTACTGAAATTTCCATACGTGTTTTAAAAAATTTCTCAATAATTTTGCAGAATAAAAAAAATTAAGAATTGAAGCTGGGTATGGTAGCACAGGTCTTTAATCCCAGCACTTGGAGGGAGGCAGAAGCAGATGGATCTCTGTGAGATAGAGGCCAGCATGGTCTACGTAGGAAGTTCTGGGTCAGTTGGGGCTATGAGGAGACCTTGTCTTAAAAAAAAAAAAAGAAAGAAAGGAAGGGAGGGAAGGAGGGAGGGAGGAAGAACGAGAAAGAAAGAAAGAAAGAAAGAAAGAAAGAAAGAAAGAAAGAAAGAAAGAAAGAAAGAAAGAAAGAAAGAAATTAAGCCAGATGTGTAAGGTAGAGGCAGGAAAAACAGGAGTTCAAGACCAGTCTTAGCTACAGAGTGAGTTCAGGTCAGAATGAGCTGCTTGAGACCCTGTCTCGAGAGAAAAAAAAATACATCAAGGTGGTCAGCAAGATATGGTGAACAGAGGTGAACTGGGGGTCAGAAACCTCAGACCTGGTACTTTCCATCTGGTTTATGCCGATACAGTCTTTGAACTCTGAGGGCCATTTCCTCATTGTGGTTGTGTAGGGGTCAAATCAATAGGGGCAGACGAAATCTGCACAGTCCATACTTCTCGGACATTGGGAGAGATTGTCAAATTCGATCCAGTTGTCTAGACCAAGAACCAGCATGCTACCTTTGAATACCAAACTCAGGGCTGTTTCCTAAAAATCAATGATGTGTTAAGAAAATGGCAATGTTTGGGGAAAATACAGCATACTTGAGTATTTTGGAAATACAGTAATCATATAAATATTTAACTACAAATGGTTCCTTCTGTTTACTTCTCAAAAGAATTTACTAGAGTATTAATTTGTGTGTGAAACTGTTCTGAACCTATCTAGACTGCATTTTCGGCTGACCAGGTTGAGAAGAGAGGTATTTATAAGGCAATAACAGATTGGGGAGTAGCTCAGTGGTAGAGTGCCTGCCTATCATTTTCAAGGCCTTAGGTTGGATCCCCTCACTGTAAAAACAAAAACAAAAACAAAAACAAAACATTTATCATGCAAAAGCCCCTATAACAAAATATCTTCTGAAGCAATGAGAATTCAATTCTAGAGTTGCTTATTAACTCTTCTGGGTGATGTTCACATCTACAAAGTCCTTACATAGTCCTTTTTTTTTCTTCCTATACTTCAAAAATATTTTATTTATTATTTTTATTTTATGTGTATGAGTGTATTGCCTGCATGTAAGTGGATGTACCCGTGTCATGCAATGCTGTGGAGTTCAGAAGAGGGCTTCAGATTCTCCTGGAACTGGAATTAAGAATGGTTCATAGCCACCATGTGGGTGCTGGGAATTGAACCCAGGTCCTCTGCAAGAGCAGCTCTTAACTGCTGAGCCATCTCTCCAGCCCTTATTATTTTTATTTTATGTATATGAGTGTATTGCCTGCCTGTATGTAAGTGCACCTGCATTGTGCTGTGCCCATGGAGGCCCCCATGGAGGCCAGAAGAGGGCATTGGATTCACCTAGAACTGGAGTTGTGAATGGTTGTTAGCCACCATGTGGGTGCTGAGAATTAAACCCAAGTCCTCTGCCAGAGCAATCAGAGCTCTTAACTGCTGAGCCATCTCTCCAGCCCCAATTTTCTCCTATACTTTTTAAAAACAGGGAGACATTCACTTTGCTCTTCTATAGCCCCTCCCCACCTGCTCTGGCTATCTGGAGGGAAGACTCCCTTCTCCCCAGAGCACAATCCTCTCCCCGTGGGTTAATCAGTCTGCAGAGCAGTGCACAGTAATGGGACGGGTAACAGAGCATCACTTCTTGTGAACATGCACATGTGAACACTCACACTCATATGAAAACATACATGCATCACACACATAAGTCCATGTGCACAGCCAAACAAAGATGCTAACAAAGCAAGAAATTCCCAGTTGAATAAACAGTTATCAAACACTTGTATGCAAGGCATGAGGGTGGGGAGGTTCACAGAGTAAACAGCATCAGGACTTTGTCCCTATGAGCCCATTCCCAGTAACAGGAGTGGTTTAAGACAGGTCAGGACTTCTGGGGCAGGAAGATACAATCAATCACTGATGGGAAGATGGCGAGGTACTAAAGATAATTGTGATGGGAAGGATGCTTCTGTGACTGCTATTCACCTATTTCATCAAACCAAAAAACCCCGTTCCTGAGATATGGTTTTACCTAAACTTTTTGTTGATGTCGTCAGGTTTATTCTTGAGGCAACCACACGTCTCTATCTCAATAGAACCAGAAAATGACTTCATTAGTCATAAAAACTTTGAGAACTTCAAGATTATTATAAAAGCAAGGTAAGAAACTTTTTTTTTCTTTTTGGAGACAGGGTCTCCCTGTAGCCCCAGCTGTCCTGGAACTCACTATGTAGACCAGGCTGGCCTTGAACTCACAGAGATCTGCCTGCCTCTGCCTCCCAAGTGCTGCAATTAAAGGTGTGTGCTACCACGCCCAGCAGTAAGAAACTTTAAAAATTTTTAAATTCATCAAGGTCTTCAATTCAAGAGTCAAATATCACTCATTGGTGGTCCTTACCTAGACACCTGTGTTGACAAACATCCTGGAGCTCAGAGTTTAAAAAAAATATTATGGGGCTGAGTAGATAACTCCGGAGGACTAGTGCTTGTTGGGGAAACATGAGGACTTAAGTTTGATCCCCAGAACCCGTGTTTAAAAGTTTTGATGTGGTGGTAATCCCTGAGCTGGGAAGGCAGGGACAGGAGGATCCCTGGGACTCAATGGGCAGTGTTACTAGCCACACCGGTAAGCCTCAGTCCAATGAGAGACCCTGTCTCCAAAAACAAGATGAATGGCTCCTAAGAAACAGCATTCAAGGTTGACCTCTGCCTCTTTGTGCACAAGCATGTGCACCTGTACATTCATGAACACACACACACACACACGCACACACACACACACACACACACACACACGTGCTTAATGCCACAGTTATGAGGAGTGGGTTTGCCTAAAGTATATTTGCTGCCTCCAGTCTTGCTCTTGCTACCCATTCTAAGGATTGAAGGTCATCATGATTATTTGGATGACCAAATCACTAGGCATCAAAAATATATGAAAATTTTTATGCTTTTCTTATTTATGGCCCACTTGATACCAATTGAATCATACATCTTGATTATCAAAATTGATTATAGAATTGATTGAGCTGTACCCAAAATATCACGTGGCAGATGAACTTTGGGAAATTACCTTTGAGTGGGGAAATGAAGACATCGGTTTTATATATAAATCAGGGAGTTTCATGATTTTCTGTAACTTGAAGGGCAAATATGGGGGAATGAATGGGGTGTTGCACCTTTCGCTAAAAGGGGCAGCAGGAAGTGGACTTTTCTGTGCCACACTGAGTTACAGTCACAGCAACAATGTGGCCTCTTACAAAGAGAACCTGGGCTTGTGCTCGGTTCTCAGAAACTCACTCTGAATGAGAAAACAGAGTTGGATACATTCTGTTCACCTCTCAATTATTTCTTGCGTCAACAGGAATAAAAATGACTTAGCTCCACCACTGAAGAGGGCAAAGATGAATAACTGTAAGACTGAAAATAAGCACTGTTTCCAGAATAAAATTCAAATTTCACATACCTGCATATTGTCTGTATCTCAGTCCCAGGACTGCTTTGTTCAAAGGGACTTAATCATTTTTTCTTCGACAGTGATTCTTACGATGAAAATGCAACTGAGGCTGATGTTTCTGTCTTTTTCGGAATAAGAAGTGATTTAGGTGGTACGACAGAAAGCATGCATGAAGCAACACAGAAGACACAGGTAGGAGGAGAGAAGCGACATCAGTCGGGCGGGGGGAGAGGGGATTGAAAGCCATTTAGCAGAATATAAAGACACAAATATGTATAGGACTAAAAAAAACCTGGACTTTGGAAAGTTCAACTGATAGAAAAAGGTAGTTAACAGTGACACTTGTCTTCCATTTGAAAACCTGTTTGCTAAACCTAGTTTTAAAAGACAAAGTATCTTTTTTTGGACATGATTTCCTGGTAAAGTTCCATCAAGTAGAAAGAGATAAACTACTTAGAGCCTCAGACTCTAAGGAGAAGGCATCATTTGAATCAGGGATCTTTTTCCTTGGCCCTGCCATGGCTTCAGGCTTAAAAGAAATGACCCAAGTACTAATTGCTTGTATCTGAAGCTTATGTTTGTATTGCCTTTACATTTTTATTTATTTATTTTTATGTATGGAAGTGTTCTGCCTGTGTGTATGTAAGTGTACCACGTGTAAGCAATGCCCACAGAGGCCAGAAGAAGGTGTTGGAGCCCCTAGAACTGGAGTTACAGGTGATTGTCAGTTACCAAGTGGGTTCTGGGAACAGAACCCAGGTCCTCTGCAAGAGCAGCCGGTGCTCTTAACCACTGAATCGTCTCTCCAGCCCCATGTTTATAATATGTTTAACCTCAATCACAGTGTCACTGCCAAGCAAAGGCTTTGCATGCAGATGAAAGCAGAGTACTTTGTTCCCTCTCTAGGAGTTCTCCTTTAATTCGGCCTCTGTCTTTTTGTCCGCCTTTTTAAAAACAGCTGATCAATGGAACTGCACAGATCCATTTTAACACTTCAAAGGCAATTGAAAATCTGTCATATACAAGCCTACAAGATTTAGACAACAAATACCTCAATGTTTTTGTGAAAGTAAAAAAACACACAGGTAAGTTCCTCAATTATAAATTCATTTCTTACAGATCTTTCTTATCCAAAGTTTGGATAGAAAATTTGTAAATTGGTGGTGTAATATTGGGAAGGTACCATTCCCAGATATAGTCTACAAAAATGTTGTCTACCAGCTCTTTGTAGAGGAAAGACGTGTTTCTGCAGTGATCATACCTTACATTCAAGCATATGAGATAATTTTCTGTTATTGAAAATTGCAAGCAATGCTAGTGCCGGAAGATTTTACTTGCAACAAATAATTGAGATCCTACAATAATCCCAATTATGAAAGAGTCTGCATCATTTCCAGATGTTGCTACATGATATTAAATACTTAACATGTATCTTTTATGATATTATCTGAGAATGTTGCCTTGGAAAGGAGAACCCACTGTTTCACACGTGACATGCACACGCATGCGTGTGTGTGTGTGTGTGTGTGTGTGTGTGTCTGTGGCTCTGTGTGTGTGTACACATGAATATGGAAGCCAGAAATCAACCTCATGTATCATTTCTCAGGATCCTTTTTTTTAGACGGACTCTCTCACTGGGACCTGGGACTTGCCAATTAAGCTAGTCTGTCTACCTAAGGAGCTCTAGAGATCTGTGTTTCTACCTCCACAGCACTGGAATTACAAGTGAGCATCATCACACTCCACTTTTTGGCTTTGTTACCTTGGTGCTGCAGATCAGACTTAGGTCCTCGTGCTTGTGCAGCAAGTATTTTTACCAACTGAGCCATCTCTTCAGCCTTGTGATCATCTCTTTTTTAAAAAATTATTTATTTAATAACCACATACTTAGAAGAAGCATTTCAAACACCATTGACATATTCAATAACAATTTCCAGAGCTAATATGCATCTCTTTCAAAATTGGCTGGAAATTTTTAGGTTTACAGTTTAATTAATATAGTTATACATGATTGTACTCAGTATAAACCCTATAAGATATAAATTTGAATGAAGTTTTAACCTTTAAAAAAGATCTCCATTTCATTTTA